CCTCGCCATTTTGGGACCTCAGCTCACACTGAGTTGAGGGTATTCATACTTCTACTATTTCCACTCCAGCCGGCACCCGCTCTCTGCCTCCGCTCACTGCCCCCTCTCCTCACAACGACCGGCGCCGACCACCAAGCACTGAATCCTCTTCGGCTTTCAAGCTTAGGCGCACCTGGGAGGTGAATCAGCCACCGGTGAGTGAGTGTAGTACTGAATCTGTCTGTGCACAGCATAGTTTTACTGCTGTGTTGTGTGGATAAAGCGTTCATTTCCTTTCTGAGAGGCCCTGAGGATCCTGGCCTTCCGTAACTCTGACATCCATCACGTTGACAAGCCAAAGGCGTGATGCTTCCGGGAGAGCACCACAGCCAGTGCAGTAGTCCATGAAAACAAGGCGATGTGCGACAGAACCCGAAACGTTCTAGCCTGGGTTTGGGAAAAATCGCTGTTCAAAGCAGGCCGCACTGCCTCCCGATATGCGGCATCGCCGTCAAACCAGTGCGTTACTTGCTGACGATTCTATTCGCCTCTCACTCGTTGTTCTCCGCACCAGCTCACACATCACGCTGCGTGAACGCCATGAGTCGCACGTGCAAGCTCGGGGTCCTGGCCGCGCTCGCGTTGGCTACAGTGCCCGCGTCCGCCAGCTGTCCGTTCCTCGGTGGCCAGAAGGTGAGTGCATGATGGATCGGTTGATTAGACTACATATCCGAGCCAACCGCCCGTCCCGTGTGATTTTAGGGTCGTGTGATTTTCAAGATTCTCCTTTCGTTGTGTCCCTGCCCCCCCCCACCTCCGCGATGTTGTTCTACATAGCCCACAGCGTCTCTTGTGTAGACTGCTCTTCTTTTCCCAGAACGCGAAACGAACTCCAATAACCGTACATGGATGTAACCAACCCCGAAATGATAACTCCAAGAAAGTCTAGACTTTTCATTCCGCGAGAAAGTAATGCCGACATACGAAACGCAGGGAGGGCCCGTCGAGGGAAATCCACTAACAACGTTCACGCAGCCATATGCCACAAGGGAGGAAGTACTACCATCGGAAAGCTGAGGGGAAAGCAGATTCCGTACGGAGTACAAGTGTTAGGAGGCTGAGCTTTATCCATCACCCTTGTACCGGGAGTTACTCTCTCTCCCGTGCTTCCCGCACGTTGATTCCCAAGCACAGAAGATCACACCGTGTACCGTGTTGTACCGAGTGTGTGTCAAGCTGCCTGATTCAATGGGGCGACTGGTAATACGCGCACCTCCTCCTAATCACTACCACCCCGCCCGTGCTCCCGCCCGACGGCAGGGCTCGCAACCCGACCTAGGCGTCGGCGTGGACCGTGCCCTGGGGTCCTACGATGACAGCTACTACTCCGGAAGCGGCGCGGACTTCTCGCGGGAGACCTACGAAGCCCTCCAGGCCGACATCACGGCCGTGTTCACGGACTCGCAGGACTTCTGGCCGGCCGACTTCGGCAACTACGCGCCGCTGATGATCCGCCTCGCGTGGCACTGCAACGGCAACTACCGCCAGTCGGACGGCCGCGGCGGGTGCGACGGCGGCCGGATCCGCTTCAACCCGGAGCGCAGCTGGGCCGACAACACCAACCTCGACAAGGCGCTGACCCTGCTGCAGCCCATCAAGCTCAAGTACGGCGACGCCGTGTCGTGGGGGGACCTCATCACCCTCACGGGTAACGAGGCGATCCGGTCGATGGGGGGCCCCGTGCTTGGGTTCTGCGCCGGGAGGCTGGACGACGCCTCCGGGTTCGACAGCCTCGAGCTCGGACCCTCCCCCGAGCAGGAGGCCGTCGCTCCCTGCGCCGTCAACGGGACGTGCGAATTTCCCCTCGGTACCAGCACGGTGGGGTTGATCTACGGTGAGTAAAACAGCGGTGTTTGTTTGTCGCTGGGGCAATGCATAGTGATGAGGGTGAATCTTGTCACCGCCGTGTTCCATCGAAAATCGAAAATACATATGGAGGTAGCTCACCTTTGGGTTTGTACCCCCTGACGACGCCACGCGCTGACATGGGCGTTGGAGCTTGGACACCCGCTTGGCGACATGTACCTCGTGATTTCGACAGCGGTTCGCCTGCGCCTCTACCCCAGAGTGCTGATACGATACCTAATTATCTACGCGCCACTGCCCCTCCCTGTCCTCCCGAAGGCTCACGCTCATTATTCTCTGCAACGCGTATTCTCGGGGTTTTCTTTTATTATAGTATTACATCAACACAATCAACCAATTGTTTGTCTCGAGTGTTTCACCAATAAAACAAACCATTTGTTTCATCACAACCACAGCTGTTGACGGCGAAACTCTCCTACCTCCCCCATACACACCCAGTGAATCCGGAGGGGCCCCTCGGTGTTCCCGACCCCGCCGGCAGCGCTGCCGATATCCGTGACGTGTTTAGGCGCATGGGCATGAACGACAGCGAGACCGTGGCTCTTATCGGCGGAGGGCACGCGTTTGGTGAGCTAGTGCGAGTCAGAGTCGGCAACGTGCTGATAGTTTGTTTTTTTGTGCACGCATCGATCCAAAATGCATCATTGGTACGTCGTGCGGAGCGCCTTGGCATCTGAATTGGTTGTGTTCTCATGCGCACCACACAGGCACAAGTACAACACGGATTGTTGTTGACGAAAAAGATGTCTACAATGTCGGTCAGCGCGTGCCCGTGCCCATGCTGTTTCACATCTAGCTGTAGGCTAACCCCTCCAGAACGTTTCCACATCATCGTGGCACAATTATCCATCCTCTCTTCCAACTGCGCCACCAAATCCTTCCGCACCACGTCCCGGCTGTCGATGCCCCTGGCCAAACCTGCCCACGGGATCGTCGCCACCATCTCAGGCGGTCTGCCATTCATTTTCGTCTTCGGAACGTTTCGTCCTCCGCTCTACGTTGCTTCCTTCGCTGTCTCTGTGCTAGATCGCTTGACTACCCCTCCCCCCCCCCCCCCCCCCCCCCCCCCCCCCCCATCGGGGTATAACGTACGGCGCGTGCTTCCCAAACAGGAAAATTCCACGGCGCGTGCGCCACCGGCCCCGGCGCCGACCCCACCGACGCTCCCGAAGCCCCCTGGCCAGGCACGTGCGGCGACCCCGACTCCCCGACCTTCGGCCGCGCGGAGAACACCTTCACGAGCGGGTTCGAGGGCCAGTGGACGGTGGAGCCCCTTGTGTGGGACAACGCGTACTTCAAGGACCTCCTCGAGTACGACTGGGTGATGACCGAGAGCCCCGCGGACCAGGTTCAGTGGTTCCCGGTCCTGAAGGAAGGGGCCACGGAGACGAAGGACGAGATCCCCGACATCATCATGCTCACCAGCGACATCGCCTTATTGTATGTGAGAGAAAGCGAAGCCGTCGTTGTATCCGCCTAGGATTGGACCCCTCCACCCACAATGCCGAACGTGTGTGTCTATGTTTTTCTGGGTACGTCGTTCTTTCGGCGTAGATACCGAGTAACTTTTGGCACCCGGCTTTTGGGGGAACGCCGTTGGCACGAAACATGCCTATCATAGCGATTCCAGATGATGTCTCACGCTGGCAACTATCTGTAAGCCAAAACACGCGTCAGAAAAATGCCAGCAATAGTCGAAGTCCTCACACACACACATGTACCGGTCTCAATCCTTCAAATCCCCTTCGCTGACCGCTCGCGCAGGACGAGGAATACCTCGCTCTCGTGGAACTCTTCGCCAGCGATCTGTCCTACCTCGACACCGCCTTCGCCGCGGCTTGGTACAAGCTCACCTCCCGGGACATGGGCCAGTTCCAGCGCTGCGTGGGCACCGACGTGGCGCCGCCCCAGGACTTCCAGCTGCCTCTCCCGGAAGCGCCGACCGACCTCCCCGACACCGAAGGGGCCAAGTCGGCGATCATGAGCATCCTGTCCAGTGACCCGTCCTACCCCGCCCTGTTCGTCACGCTGGCTTGGCAGTGCGCGTCCACGTACCGCTCCACGGACTACCTGGGCGGCTGCAACGGGGCGAGGATCCGCTTCTCTCCCGAGAGGGACTGGGCCGGCAACCAGAGTCTCGACCAGGTGTGTGTGTGTGTGTGCGTGGTGCGTGTCGCGCCTACGATACGATGTCGCTCTTTAGGCGACGCTTGCAAGGTTGTGTTTCTTGTGTGCAAATTTCGGTAGGGCACCTTGTCCTTAGTTTCTACGATCTCGCAACCCGACTTCCTAGGCCGATTGCTTTTGTTCCCTGTTATGGTGATTTTGTCTATGCTGTGTATATACCATCTCCAGCTTTTCCTCGCTGCCATTGCCCCGTCCAACATCGCCGCCGTTATTTTACACGAAACGATACGAACCAGGTGCTGAGCCTTCTCTCGCTCGTGCAAGACGAGTACCCGGACGTGTCCTACGCCGACCTGATCGTGCTCGCGGGAAACCTCGCCCTCGACCTCGACGACCTCCCGTTCTGCGCCGGCCGCGTCGACGCCGCCGAGGGCGACGAGCTCATCTCGATCCTCGAGCCCCGCGAGTACGACGACGTGATCGTGGGCGTGCGCGACCGCATGAAGATCAGGGGCCTATCGGTCGCGCAGATGGTGGCCCTCGCCGGCCGCCCCCGCAGCGCCTCGCACATGGTCGCCCTCGGGTTCAGCGGGTCCTACACGGACGAAGAAAACCCGGCCCTCTCCAACGCCTTCTACGTCACCCTCCTCACCGAGACCTGGGAAGAGGTGCCAGGATCCAACGGGCAGGAGTTCCAGGCCGTCGGCAGGTCCGGCATTTACGTGCTGGCGACGGACCTCGCCCTGGTCTGGGACCCGGAGTTTAAGGCCCAGACCGTCATGTACGCCGAGGACAACGAGCAGTTCCTGAAGGACTTCGCGTCGGCTTGGACCGCCGTCATGAACGCCGACCGCTTTGACGGCCCCACCGGTAACGTCTGTGACGACGCCCCGGACAGCGACGACAGCTCTGACGACAGCAGCAGCGACTCTGACAGTAGTGACAGCAGCAGTAGCGACAGCGACAGCGACGACCACTAAATGCGAACACTGATAAAGCGCTGGAGGACCTCGCGGTGAGAGCCATGGTGTGGCAAGAACACGCCGCTATCGTATAGCTAGTTGATAATTGCTCATCGCGTCTAATGATGTGCTGGTTCGTGTGTACGTCATATTTTCCTCGCCAACTAATTTTCTCATTCCATTGTCCCAAAACTTGTTCTGATGATCTCCCACATCCCGCCCACCGCGTTCTGCCGACTAGTGCCCCTCCGCCTGGATGATGGCTCGCTGCTTTGTCAGGCGTACGATATGGCGGCTCCCAGCGCATCGTCTTCGCTTCTCCGGTGGGCAAACTGTTCGGCGGCAGCTGTTCGTTCCACACAGCAGCTCCTAGAAGCCATGAGCAACGCGTGTAGTACTTTTTGTATTAATTAAAGAGGTGTAAAACCGTTTTGTCGTAACTTTCGTTGAGAGGCCAATAAACCATGAGAGAAGATGCGACCGCCCTTGGGGTGGGACTGCCCCCGTAGAGCTCTGGTCCATTACCCCGAGCACACGGGCCATACTTTTCTGTTTATACAGGGCAGACAAGCCGTGCACACGTAGGTAAGGAATGAGCGACTTAACGTAAATATAGAGAGACGGGTTGCGAGAGGAGTGATTTCAGCGTGAATCGAACTTTGTGTAGCTGAGCGGGTTGTCGGGAACAGGCATTCGAGGCAGGACCACTTCCTGTAGCCAAGCAGCACGTGATACCGGCGCCATGATGTATCAAACTCGTGGATCATGTGTAGACTAGATGTGTAGTACTCAGTGGAGGAAGAGCCGTGAACTGGGGGGTGGTATTGGCGATGAGAGGTTCGCACATTTACCTTGCGCGCTTTTGTCCCGTTGGTGTCGGTAAATTCTGTCGAAAATAACTTAGCACCGTGCGTGCGGGTTTGCTTCCTTCAAGGAGACTTGGGGTACGAATCCCGTTTGGCCCAGTTCATTTTCCACCGTGATCAACTCTATCCTGTTGTACGGCGGTGTCTCGTTGAAGAGCGACAAAACAAATTGAATCACATCGAGAGGATAAACATTGGGCTAACCTAATTGAGAGCAGGCGGTGGTGGCGGCTTTTGGTGGCGTTCTCTTACACAATGTTATTCTGTTTGTGGGCTGTACGGGTACGTGTGTTGACACATGTGCGTGTTTGTTTGCTGGGGGGCATTTTGGCCCCCCGTGACAGTAAACTTCGTGTGGTGGCCCATTTGAGGGCACGCGCCCACATTCTCAATAAACAAGTTTGAACCACTGGATTCGTCACCCGGCTGCGGATGGGCTGCAGATCGACGCAGACCAGGAGAGAGGTGCCATGCTCTTGCTCGTGGAGGCTATATCCCCGAAAAGGAGGATGTTTACCACAAGTATAGCACGATTTGCTGCATGGATCCACTCTCCCTGCTTGTCCAAGGAAATGATAGGCACCAGCGCGGGTAAAATGGTTCGCATGGCTATAATATGCTGCCGCCCCGCTACTGCTCTTACAGGATCAAGCACACAACCGCAACTATTCACCAGACAACGATTATCATTCCGGATATGTTGTGTCATGTTACATGAATGACCTGCTGATGCGCTCAGCAAAACTACCAAAGGTAAAATACCATGCACATACATGCATACGTACAAACACATAAATACATGTATACATACATACATACATACATGCATACATACATACATACATACATACATACATACATACATTTGTTATTTTATTTATTTTTGCCTTCCGACAATTGCAGATGTACCTCAGAAAACTTTCACTTAATGTCTCATACTCTACATGAATATTAAACCAATACGAAGTACAACAAGATATGTAGGACTTATTTCTACTGTCATTTACATCGTACAAGTATCTCCTCTTCAACTTACCAATGACAATCCTGATGGTATCCTATATGCGTTCGTAAGCTTGCTAAAATACTACTGCGTTGATGTCCGCTTGTAAAAGCTGAAATCCAACAAAT